ACAGGATTCCATCTGATTCTTGGATAGCTTTTTTTTCCCCCTGTGGTGCTGAAACAGAAGTCAATTCAAACTTTGGCCACTTACCATTATATTTGCTACGGGATTCTTTTTTTTTCCCCCCTTTGTTGTTGTGTTCCCCCCCCCTGCCCCCCAATACCATGTTTCCTTCCTCTGAGAATTGAAGGTAAAGGATGGGGGAGATTAAGGAATAAAAGTGAGTCACAGACCTCATGCTGTTCGACTTTCCCTATAGGAGAAAAACAAAATTCGAAGCCGACCCTCCCCCTAGTGATAGCCTGACCTCTCTGGTACCTGCAGTTATCTTTGACCAAAGGGGTTGGACTTGGTAGGGCTCCTTTATTTGAATTTGCTTATTGTTTTTTACAGTCGACAGCAGATTGGTTTTTAAATATAAAACATACTGCTTGCAAGAGAGGAAGTCTGGCTAATTCTCTTTAGAGCTGGGGGCACCTCCCTTGCTTGTGGGGACTGCTGCATAGTAGAAGGCCTTTCAAACGCATGCCTGCTTACTTCTCTCCAGCCATTTCTCCATACAAAAGCTTCCTCCAGCCCCTGTGATGGGTTCCCTTTCCTCCGAACTGCTTCCACCAGAAAAACTGCCCTTTACAGAGTCTAAATTTCGTTTTAATCAGGTTAAAACCGAAAAACCACTTATTATTTTAAGGTCTCATGTTGCTATTAACAGGCAGTTTAGAAGAGATGCTCCAAGCAATCGTATACAATGTGTCTCAGTATACCGAAGCACTACCGTTCACATGTAATGTTAATTCTGTCCGAGACAAATCCCATAATCTGTGCAGTTTCAGAGCCTAATACGGAAAAACATGGGGGTGGGTTTTGTTTGGGGTTTTGCTCTCTCCGTCCCAGGGGAAAGTGCCAGGGGCTCCCCGTTTTTTGTATCATGCTAACCCAAGGGCAGAAATGGAGCGACTAGGGGGATCAGGTTTTATCAAGGCACGCTGCGCTTACAGGGTTCTGGCCGTTGAGAAGAGGAAAAGAAGTGTTCAAGACACTGGTCGCAGATCAGGGCATGCAGATGCGTAAATGGGGCGTGAACCCTTTTGTGGTACGAAAGGGAAAGA